TCCATCTTGCTCCTCCATCTTGGTCTTCCTCCATCTTGCTTCTCCATCTTGGTTCTCCTCCACCTTGGTCTTCGTCCATCTTGCTCCTCCATCTTGGTCTTCCTCCATCTTAGTCTTCCTCCATCTTGCTCCTCCTCCATCTTGCTCCTCCATCTTGGTCTTCCTCCATCTTGCTCCTCCATCCTGCTCTTCCTCCATCCTGCTCTTCCTCCATCCTGCTCTTCCTCCATCTTGGTTCTTCTCCACCCTTGTGCTTCTCCACCCTGCTCTTCCTCCATCTTGTTCCTCCATCCTGCTCTTCCTCCATCTTGGTTCTTCTCCACCTTTGTGCTTCTCCATCTTGGTCTTTCTCCATCCTGCTCTTCCTCCGTCTTGCTCCTCCATCTTGGTTCTCGTCCATCTTGGTGTTCCTTCACCTTGGTCTTCCTCCATCCTGCTCCTCCATCTTCCTCCTCCATCCTGCTCCTCCTCCATCCTACTCTTCCTCCATCTTACTTCTCCATCCTGCTTTTCCTCCATCTTGGTCTTCCTCCATCTTGGTCTTCCTCCGTCTTGCTCTTCCTCCACCTTGGTCTTCCTCCATCTTGGTGTTCCTCCATCTTGGTTCTCCTCCATCTTGGTTCTCCTCCATCCTGCTCCTCCTCCATCCTGCTCTTCCTCCATCTTGTTCCTCCATCCTGCTCTTCCTCCATCCTGCTCTTCCTCCATCCTGCTCTTCCTCCATCCTGCTCTTCCTCCATCCTGCTCTTCCTCCATCCTGCTCAGTTCAACTCCCCGAGGTCTCCATCCACCCACCTTCCGGCGAGGACTTCCTAGGCCCCTACCTCAACTCCAGCATCCTCTGCCACATCCGGGTGCCCAAGGCCACGCCCAACACCGTCGTCCAATGGCTGAAGAACGGGAAGGTCCTCCAGGAGGGCGTGACCAACGAGGTCCTGGTGACCCCTCAAGGCCAAGGCCCCAAAGTCATTGACAGTCGCCTCAGTGTCACCAAGGACGAGTGGGACGCTGGGAACGTCTACACGTGTCGGGTGGAGGAGGAGATGAGGAACACCAGCAAGGCCCTGGAGTGCGGGTGTAAGTTGGGGGGGGGTCCTCCGGCCAAGATGGGGTGGAGGTCAACCAAGATGGGGTGGAGGTCAACCAAGATGGGGTGGAGGTCAACCAAGATGGGGTGGAGGTCAACCAAGATGGGGTGGAGGTCAACCAAGATGGGGTGGAGGTCAACTATGATGGGGTGGAGGTCCTCCAGGGTAGAGGGGAGGTCCTCCAGGGTAGGGAGGAGGTCCTCCAGGGGGTGGAAGTCCATCATGATGGGTTGGAAGTCAAGAAAGATGGGCTGGAGGTCAACCAAGATGGGTTGGAGGTCAACCAAGATGGGTTGGAGGTCAACAAGGATGGGGTAGAGGTCCTCCAGGGTAGAGGGGAGGTCCTCCAGGGTAGAGGGGAGGTCCTGTAGGGTAGAGAGGAGGTCCTCCAGGGGGTGGAAGTCCACCATGATGGGTTGGAAGTCAAGAAAGATGGGCTGGAGGTCAACCAAGATGGGTTGGAGGTCAACCAGGATGGGGTAGAGGTCCTCCAGGGTATAGGGGAGGTCCTCCAGGGGGTGGAGGTTCACCAAAATGGGCTGGAGGTCAACCAAGATGGGTTGGAGGTCAACCAGGATGGGGTAGAGGTCCTCCAGGGTATAGGGGAGGTCCTCCAGGGGGTGGAGGTTCACCAAAATGGGTTGGAGGTCAACCAAGATGGGTTGGAGGTCAACCAGGATGGGGTAGAGGTCAACCAAGATGGGGTGGAGGTCAACCAAGATGGGGTGGAGGTCCTCCAGGGTATAGGGGAGGTCCTCCAGGGGGTGGAAGTCCACCACGATGGGTTGGAGGTCAACCATGATGGGTTGGGAGTCAAGAAGGATGGGTTGGAGGTCAACCAGGATGGGCTGAAGGTCCAGCAAAGGGGGGTACAAATCCACCAGGGTGGGGGTGAGGCCTCCACCTTCCATTGGGAAGGTCCAACCCTTCCCAAGAGACCCACCACGTTGCCCCCCACCTCTCCCAGTCGTCCCCGGCAGCGGAGAGGACATCAAGGTGCAAGTCATCCCTCCGGCCTTCATCGACATCTTCCAAGACAAGGTGGCCAAGTTGACCTGCCTGGTGTCCAACCTGCCCAGCTCGGAAGGCTTGGAGATCTCCTGGTGGACGGAAGGTGGGGAGAAACTGCCCACCAAGACCTCCTCCCAAACCCTCCAACCCAACGGGCTCTACAGGGTGGAGGGCGTGGCCAGCGTCTGCGCCGACCAATGGGACAAGGGGGAGGTCTTCACTTGCAAGGTGACCCACCCTGAGCTGCTCTTCCCCACCGAGGCCACGTTGCAGAAGACCAAGGGTGAGTCCTTGGGGTGGTTGGGGGTGAAACTGGGGCAACTGGATCGAGTTTGGGGGCAAATTGGGGGAGATTGGGGCAGTTGGATCAAGTTTGGGGGCAATTGGATCAAGTTTGGGGGCAGTTGGATCAAG